ATTGGCTAAAATTTGAAATCCAAATGAATTTTTGCAATTCGTTTTTCGATTAACCGCAATAACCACCACCCGCAACACCTCGATCATTAGCTAATCACATTGATGAAGCTACTTACAATTTTTTTTTCGAATCATTACGATTTCTAAATGACTGATATTCTACTTGGGGCGTTCTCAAGCGACTTATTCAATGTGACACAAAGTGTCGGTGAATAAATCTTAGCGGAAATATTTTAAGGAGACAAAATTTGGTTAATGAATATTTAACATTAAAGTTCATTACGTGATTAATATAATTTTATTAAGTTTATCATTCAATTTACAAACCATTTTACGGTGGACCATCTTTGTTTTTATCCCTGGCTTAGCAAAAATTTACAATTGCGATCGTTCAAGTAATCTTATCAATATTAACTAATTAAACGTAGTGATAATGAATTTCTTAAGTAACAATTGCAATTCTTATTTTGATTAAGTATAGGAAATGAGAATCGTCACGTTTATTAGTTAATCGCATACGTAGAGAATTTGAGCAAATTTTTAATTTGCTTAATACATTTTTTACGACAGATAACTTGTAAATATAGAACATTAGCAAGGCTTTTATTAGTATAATTGAATGAAGCAATAACAGATAACTGTTCAGGACAGTTGGAAAGGTATTTTCACAAAGATGGCAATAATGGTTGTCGACTAATATCATATTTATTATCAATAATGTGCATGACTTTCTTGTATACTTTATGCGCATTTCATTGCTTATAAGCGCAATATTAGTCGGCTACAAACACTAGATGCTGACAATTTTAAGTCCCTTTTTATTAGCAGTCGACTTTGTGCAGTATGATTGTATAAACTCTAAACTCGGATATTAAACATCGAAATGATTGATCAAATGAATCGTATTTCGTAATTATCTTCGTGTTCTATATATAAAATCTTTCTTAAAACTTAGCTTTTTATATTTATGAAATTTATTATTTATAAATTTTATAAACTTTTAATATACTTATGCCAGAATAAATGATATTATCTATAAATCTATAGTTCTAACAATACTTTCTAGCAAACATAAAATTCTAATTTTAATTTCTGACTCTCTTATTTATAGGTGTATTAATGACTAAAGGTTGAGTTCTGGTACTTGGATGATTTTTCGTATTACCTGTAATTGAATTCGTAATACTAGCTAAATTTCTTTTTCGATGGTTTTTTTGCTTTTTTTGATTTAAGGTTAACAAATTAACTTCCAACACTTTGACTTTGATATACAAAGTTTTTAATACGTTCCAGACATGCTCAATATTGCACATTTCATCCAATGATGCAGGTAAATAACATTCATAAAGCAACATTAAATGAAATAGGCCTCCGTGGCTTACCATAGCATATATTTTTAATTTGTACCCTAATTTGAACGAATTTTAATGATTATTTTTATAGTATTATATATCAAATATTACCAAAAAAATATCTCACCAACGACTTGTACACCATAGACTGTTTGGTCCATCCCTGGTAGCTCATTTTCCAACCGAACTAGTACGTCTCTTAAACCTATGATTAGTTTAATTTTGTCTTGCCATGACTTACACGATGAGCATTGAGGCAAGATACTTCCTGATACCTCACCTATAAGCAGCTCGGGAAGCCATCCAAGTCTATTTGAGAAGAGTATCATGTCGCACTTTTGGCCTATTTTGGCTCGGGTTTGTGGATCTCTACCTAGATTCCTCCTTTCGCTTGAACTTAATAATGAAGTATCGCCACTATATAATATAAAAAAATAGAAATAATTAAAAAAATTCTTTTAAAAATTAGACATCTTTTTAGATTTATTTTTCATGTGTTAAAACTGGCTTTAACATATAGAAATAAAGCCGGTTTCAACCTCTAAAAAGACATCCATTCTAGTAAATATATAACTCGTTATTATCTATTTATACCAATCAAGTTGCCAGTTATCATCATTAAAAATATTTTCGAAATGTGGCAAAACATTTTTATACATATGCGAGGCTTCAGAGAGCCTATGTTTCGGTTTGCTTAGATGTTTGCGAATATTTCTCCATAAATCTCTTATGTCGTTTTCTTCTTCGTTATCGATGATCACAGAATTTAAATTTGAATTCTAGAAAAAATTTTTTATAATAAGTAAAATAAGTAAAATTATAATACTTGCAATATTTGAATACTACAAATTTATAGATGATTTACAGTTTCAAGCTTATCAAACAATTCCGAAAGTTTTTCAGGTGTTTCTTGAACTTCGAAGGAGATATCTTTTGGAATAATTTCCCTGAGTTCACCAAGAAGATTTTTTGTTGGTACGTGTTGTCCTGAGTGATCAATAATATAATACCAGAGAGGGTCATAGAGGCGCTTTTTTTTAAGAATGTTTTTCCTATAATCATCAATTTTATTGCGTATATCTTCATAATTAATTTCATGAGGGTCACATGATGTTGGAGAAGCGTACGAAAGGATTTCCGTTTCTAAGTCACTAGGATCAATTGTGTCGTTATCACTGAAATCATCATTGTTCGGATAATAATCATGGTCATTGTTATCATCCGAACAAACATTATCATCAGTATCGAAATTACTTGAGCCCTGTGATGCAAACTTGTTGTTAATAATAAAATTGAGTGATATTAGGTTAAAAAATTTTAATTAGAAGTAAACCACTCAATAAGAGCAACTAATTAGGATTAGGTCTCTATCTATTTTAAAACCATACCCAAACCTAGCTCGTTATAACTATATAGCAAAAAAAGTGATATAAATAAATAAATTCGTATTTAACATGAAATAAATGCATATTGAACTTATAAGTATGTTCCGAATGAAAGCTTGCATTTAAAAAAAAAAAAAGCATTTAGAAAGGCTAAATATAAAGAGGTCTGATCGCACCAATATTGAGAAAGTTGGGCATAAATCTCTTACTATCATAATGCACTAGATCTTGTATTTCTCCAATACAATCTTAAGACTAGGCCTTTAAATATTACATAAACGCACTAGATCTTATGCAAAATTGAGTTAAAGTATTTTATCATAAGTGCACTGAATCTTATAATGTATTTCTACAATACGATCTTAAGGCCAGGCTTCTAAGTAGTTTAGAATATTATTATAGTGCACTAGAACTTATGAATGCGATCACTAAGATAAAGTCTAAGTATTTTTTTACTATAGTAATGCACTGAATCTTATGATGTATTTCTACAATACGACCTTAAGATCAGGTCTCTAATAGTTAAAAAATACTATCATAATGCAAAGTATTTGATCATAATAAGTACACTGAATCTTATAATGTATTTCTACAATACGATTTTAAGATCAGATCCTTTAAAATACTATTATAAGTGCACCAGACTTTATGCATACAATCATGAAGATCGTCAAACATTAAGTTTCTAAGTATTTTACTATTATAAATGCACTAACCTTATGATGTATTTCTACAATACGATCTTAAGGTCAGGCTTTTAAATAGTTTAAAATACTATTTAAATGCACTAAACCTTATGCATACGATCATTAAACATTAGGTTAAGTATTTTACTATATTAAATGCACTAATCCTTACGATGTATTTCTACAATACGATCTTAAGGCCAGGCTTCTAAGTAGTTTAAAATACTATTATAGTGCACTAGAACTTATGAATGCGATCACTAAGATAAAGTCGAAGTATTTTTTTACTATAGTAATGCACTGAATCTTATGATGTATTTCTACAATACAACCTTAAGATCAGGCCTCTAATAGTTAAAAAATACTATTATGATGCAAAGTATTTTATCATAATAAGTATACTGAATCTTATAATGTATTTCTACAATACGATTTTAAGATCAGATCTTTTAATCCTTTAAAATACTATTATAAATGCACCAGACTTTATGCATACAATCGTCAAGATCGTCAAACATAGTTTCTAAGTATTTTACTATCACAAATACACTAACCTTATGATGTATTTCTACAATACGATCTTAAGATCAGGCTTTTAAGTAGTTTAAAATACTACTATTTAAATGCACTAAACCTAATATACATGATCATTAAACATTAGGTCTTTTTTAAGTATTCTACAGTCACAGGCAGGGCTTAAACGACTATATTGAAATGCCCGCCATTCAAAAATATCATTCTTGATTTATAGTATAATTGGCTGGTATAGTAAACAATAAGATGAATCAAGAAAAACACATCAAACAATAGGCTGCAGGCCGGTAAATTACTATAGGATTTTAAGCCCTGGTCACAGGTAAGGCGGAACGTGATTAATAAACCGGGACCAAGATAACGTAACCTGGCCTAGTGCGATAAACAATCGTGCCTCGAGGTATATAATCGTGCTTAAACTGAAATTGAATGAAACATACGTAATCGTCCAAAACTCAGGCAATCGAAAAACCAACGGATTAGGAATAAAATATAATCATGACATCCAGGTTTCAGAGTTTTGGATGTGAAATGGTAAATTGAAGGTGTTGTGTTGGAAAAAAGTAAAAATTATGTAAATAACGTGGTAAATCTTTAAAAAAAGGGCAAATCGTAATGAAACTTATCTGTAAAGTACAAATGTCCAAGCCAAGGCGACTGGGTTTTGTGAATGTAATAGAAAAAAGAAAGTGTCTAAAATAAATTAAATGGTTAGTTCTATCAAATGTATAAAAGCAAATCGAAAATAAGAAAGAAAACTTATCATTCACAGGCAAAAAATAGTCAAGAAAACAAATGTTCCTACACAATCAAAATGTAGTTAGTAGCTGGTAATGAAACCCAAAAATAAATAACAGTATACTTGCCCAAGTCGTATTTCATGTCTTTGGTAGAAAATCCCTGTTTTACTCTTATTATAAATACACTGAACCATATAATGCATTACGATCTTAAGATTAGAAGTCTGCACCCTAGGCTCGTGCCTGTGCCCAACAAAAAATCTACTTTGCCTGACGTTTGTGCCTATGCCTTTAATAATGCCTGGCACTTTTGTGCCTATAGGCACAGGCACGGCATATAGCACTAGTGCCAGCTTCTAGGTATTTTAAACTACTATCACGAATATGCCAGTTCTTAATATGTATGCGAATAGACCTCTAAGTATTTTAACCTTTTTTAAATACAATTGCTAAATAATTTCTTTAAATAACTACCATCATAATGCTTTAAGTAACTGTTTTTTTAAAAAAAAAATCATAAATATGAATATTATTACCATTTTGTTTTTTCCTTTCGAATTTTCTGACGTGTAAAATTCATAAAACGATTCAAGATGACTGCGACTAAATCTATTTGTAATGTTAAATGCATAGCTAGAAAAGTCTTCTTTGTTCCATTCATTTCGTGGCGTTTCATCAAAATACTCGATAATATTTTGATATAACTTTTGTTCATTTGTTGTTAATCGCTTTCCGGTTGGTTTAGTTGGAATTTTCATTTTTGCGCGTAAATACAAGAGAAAGCAAATACGAAAAAATAAAACCGAATGTAAATATGAAAGAACGGAACGTAAACAAACACAAAAACGAACGTGATTTTATAAATGTAAACAATATGCATAGTGTCAATTTCTGGCACATGATTTTAGCCAATTAGAGAACTACCCGCATAGCGGGCATTAATTTGATTGGATGATCGACACGATGCGTTACACAAGATGTTCGACATATTGACGTAACGTTTCATATTACAAGAATGGTTTGGTGGCCACAGATACGAATGGCAAAACTCGATATTAAAACAAAGTAATTCGGGTAACAGTTAAGTAATTCAAATGTTAGCAAAGAAGTGTTTGTTTTACACTTTTATTATAGGCACAATTTAAAAAAAAGAGTATAAGACCTGCGGGTCAGTAGTGCAGTGGTTAGCACTCCCAGGTCGCATTCGCAAGGTTGCCAGTTCAATTCCAACT